TGGAAATAGACAAGAAGAGGGAGTTGATTATGATGAGACATTTGCACCAGTTATCAAGATGACTACGGTGAGGACGTTTTTAAAAATTGCGGCTGTCAAGAAATGGGAGGTCTATCAAATGGATGTTCATAATGCATTCCTTCATGGAGATATTGAGGAAGATGTTTATATGAAGTTACCTCCAGGGTTTTCTTCGAAAAATAAGAATAAGGTTTGTAAGTTGAAGAAGTCGATATATGGACTGCGTCAGTCTCCTCGTTGCTGGTTCTCAAAACTTACTGCAGCATTAAAAGGGTATGGTTTTGTTCAGAAGAAGTGCGATTACTCAATGTTTGTGTTGATGCGTGGAACTATGAGGCTGTATGTTCTTATATATGTGGACGACTTGTTGATTGGTGGGAATGATTCTGCTGAGATTAAGAAGTTTAAGGGATACTTGAGTCAATGCTTTCACATGAAAGATTTGGGGCCATTGAAGTATTTTCTTGGGATTGAAGTGGCTCGATCTGATAAGGGAATATATTTATCTCAACGCAAATATGCTCTTGACATTGTTTCAGAGAGTGGTCTATTAGCGAGTAAGCCAGTTGCAACACCCATGGAACAAAATCACAAGTTAGCTACTAGTGAAGGAGCTGTCTATCGTGATCCAGAGGGTTATAGGAGATTGGTGGGTCGTTTGGTTTATCTGACTTATACTCGACCGGAGTTGTCTTATGCAGTGCATATTTTAACTCAGTTTATGCAACGTCCACGTACAAAGCATTGGGAGGCTGCGATTAGAGTGGTACGATATCTTAAAGGATGTCCTGGTCAAGGAATACTATTGAGTTCAGACTATGACCTGTCCCTTAAAGCCTTCTGCGATTCAGACTGGGCGGCATGCCCTATAACACGCAGGTCACTTACGGGCTATGTTGTTTTGTTGGGAGACTCGCCAATTGCATGGAAGACAAAGAAGCAGCCAACAGTATCCTGCTCGTCTGCAGAGGCAGAATATAGAGCGATGGGTTTTACTACGCGTGAGTTACTATGGGATAGGCAATTACTATCAGCTTTGGATGTTGAGCATAAGGATCCGATGCGTCTACATTGTGATAATAAGGCGGCGTTACACATAGCATCGAATCCGGTTTTCCATGAACGGACTAAGCATATGGAGGTGGATTGTCATTTTGTTCGAGATGTTATCCAAGAGGGTAAACTAGCCACAGCTTATACCAGCACGACGGAGCAGCCTGCCGACATCTTAACCAAAGCATTGGGTTCACAACAATTTGCTTACTTGCGTCACAAGTTGGGCATTCGGGATTTTCATACTCCAACTTGAGGGGGAGTATTGAGGACTCATATGTAAATATAGTATAATAGCCTAATCGTATATCTCAATATGTTAATATTCCTTATATGGAGATGATACGAGGGTTTACTCTTGGTTGTATATAAACCTTTTGGCTTGATGAATAAGACGGCACAAGATTACGTTCTCTCTTTGACATAATGTAGTAAGTAAGTAGTAGCAGTTCAATATTTGATGCAAGCATGTTCATCCTAAATACTGCAACATGGATTATCAGCGAAGAGTGGGAGAGAGCGCATAAAAGGATCAAAAGTCAAGTTCTACAGAGCAAATCAATTCTAGTTGTAGCACATAATCTTCTTCTTCTTTTTTTTAGCACTAGGTTTAGATAATGAAAAGAGTATCTAAAAAGTAAAAACCCATAATAATAATGTTTTACTATCGCTGGATTATAGAATAAAAATTTGAGATATTTGACTGAAGGGGTATTCCGGTGGATTTCTCATGATATATCATTTGAGATATTACTTTTCATTTTATCTTCTCATCATTTTTTTTCTTTATTTAAAGTTGAGATGCCCTTAGGATTACAATGGAATCTATAGACAGATTCAGACTTCATAACATAGATCCATACGAAACTCACAACAAATACATTAGTAACGCAAGTTTGATTAGATCGAGTATTTTTCACTTACCATTCTTCTAGACACCAATAACTGCTCTGTTGTTTCTGCTGATGCTGCGGTGGTGGAGGATATTCCGGCACGGACGGAGGAGTATCGTCCTGCTGTGGGTAGCCTTGCGGTGGATTCCCCTCCGGTGAACTACCTGTTAACAAGATCAAAGTAGTTTAAAGAACCCAAAAGCTCAACATGAAGATGAAGGAGTTCGGAGGAAACCTTGAGGAGGAGGAACACCAACGGGAGGTTGATTGTACTGAGTCATTGTTGTTTCTTCTCTAGGTTTCGATCTCCTGCAAAGTCTAGACCCATAAACTTAGGAGCCATAGAGTATGTAGAGAAATATAAGAAGGAAACTAGATTTTGACCAGCGCTTGAAAGCGTGGAAATTTTTTATAACTAAAATTTATATAATTGGGTTATGTGTTAATTTAAAGAATGTTTTGATATAAAATTAGTTTACCAAAATTTGTGCTGACAATTTTTTTCCTTAGTTTTTAATTTCAGTTTTTATTTTTAGATTTGGGTTTTTAATTTTTAGATCCGCTGAGTTAGTTTGAACTGGTATTACCAACAAACAAAGTTCAAATAATTGAACATCTAATTTAAAACATAAAAGATGACAAAATTTTTTAAAAAAAAATTGTAATAGTTTATTTTGTAAATAAACAAAAGCAAAAACTATAACAATATGTTATCCAGAACAATGCGTTTTCAGCTTTTGGTTTTGGCTTTTAGTTTTTAGAATTGGTTTTTGGTTTTGCTTTACATTTTTTTTTTAAATCAGTAAATTATTTAAGAAAAATAAAACAATAAATTATTTAAAAGTTACCATTGAAATTTATCAAAAAAAAGTAATTGTTATTTAAAATAAAAATACAATAACATGTTTTAAAGTACATGATTTAAATAAATGATTAATAATAGAAAATTTTGTTTTGTTAAAAATATTAAATACATTTGGGCCTGAAAATAATAATTGATTTTTCAATCCATTAAGATAGAAATTTTATTCAATGTTTTTGGAGTTTTTCCTTAATAGTAAGCCTAAAAATCAAACCATATAATTTGTCCTAAAAACAAAAGTAAGCCCAAGACTATATCCCATAAATAACCATCGGTTTAATTTAAGTAATGCGGTTCAGTTATATATGGCTTGTTGTAACACTCTAGAAAGAGTCCAAATTTAAATAACAATTTGTATTAGTAGATGAAAAGAAAGACTATATTTTAATAGAGTAGATATCCATTGGTTTCATATAATTATTAAATTTCCATTTTTTAAGGAATTGTTAAGATGCTAAATGGTATATTATGATTTCTGCATTAATATAATTAGTAGATTTCCATATTTCATATTTTGATAATATATATTCTTTTAGAACATTCCATATTTGTAGGAGAAAATATGTGTTTTTGGTAAACACATAGATATCTGCCGTATTTTGAAGATAATTTACATTAAGGTCGCCATGTTACATTAATTATGTTGGTTTAATTTAATTAATGCGGTTCAATCAATTATAAGACTTATATTATTTGTAACATTCTAGAAATGATTCAAATTTAAATGACAATTTGTATCAGTAGATAAAAAGAATGTCTCTATTTTAATAGAGTAGAAGTCATTGAGTGTTTTAAATAAAACGCGTTATGCAGTATTTTTTGGTTTTATCCCAAACCTCGACAAAAAAAATTAAGCTCATCGACAAAAAAAAAACACTAATTGATAAATAATAAATACGATGAACCACCACATCTAAAGCAGATATATTTCGTTTTCTTTTAGTTATATCAGTTTTTTATAAATAATAAAAATGTATTATTTGGTTTATATTCTGCTCTCGGGTTCTAGGTGAAGATTTTTTTTTTTTTTTTGATAAATCTAGATGAAGATGTTGACATACATGAAAGCATAAGTTGAGTCAAATATGGCGTGACTGTAACTAGGTTGCATTTTGCGCGGAATGAAAATTATATATAAAACTTATTTTATATCTTATTCTTTATTTTGTATTTTTATATATATTATTAAATAAAAATATATATCACTGTAATTTATTATATAAAAAAATTAGACCTTGATCACAAAAGTTTGTGTGAGATTTTAAACAGTTTTAGTAATTTATACTCGTTTTGACAATGTCAAAAAACAATATATATAAGAAAATCTAAATTTTTATTATATGATTAGTGTAATTGTGTAATTTATTTTAATATAAAAAGTTAAACAAAATGATATAAAGCATACATATTGTTAACAAATATTTATTATTTAAAATCATTAATAGTCATATATATATCTTAATCACATTAGGTAATTTCGTAGGTTTTATTTAAGGAAAATATATATAGGAGATTTAGTTTGATATGTTATTTAGTTTGATATGTCTTATATGAGACCAACTGACCATATTTTAAAACTATATTTTATATGAGGTGCTCGAGAATCTTTCTAAATTAAAATAGAAGACATAGAGAGGTGCCACATAGGATGAGATTATTTTTTAATTAATACACACTTAAGGTTACAACTTTTCAAATATTTTTCAATTAATATATAGGGGATATTATTGATAATCTAAAATAATTATATGTTATATGAAGGTTGATGGTTGAAGGTGGTGGTTAAAGCCTGAGGTTTTTAGATTTTGGTTTTATTTTCATTCAATAATGTTTCTTATTTCATGAAAACTTGATTTTCGTTTTATGATTTCATTTATTTGGTTTTCTTTCTATTAATAACTATATTTACCTTTCTTTTGATTTTGAATGATGATATTTGATGTTTTTTTTTCTTATTTTTGAATCAATTTCACTTATGTTTTAGTTACAAAATGAATAAAAAATTAGGTATTTTAAATCCCAAAGAACCGATTTTGCATAAGTTTTGGTTATAGATTATATACAAATCAGGTACTTTTAAACCGAAGAATCGATTGGGACCCGAACCAAAAAGTATAACGGGTTATACCAATTCTTTGAAAACTTACTAATCTTGATTCTGAGTCCGAAAGAACCCGAACCGGTCTGTTAGTGTACTACCACGAACGATGCTTGGTATTGCAATGGATGCCCCAACACAAACTTTTATATAATCCGAATGAAGCTGATTTTTATAAATCTGAATAACCGAGATTTGATTGGACAAAACCGAAACCCAATTGAAACCCTGATGTCGAGGTCTAGCATGGCATCTAAGTTTAAGAAGAAAAAACACAACATCTCATTAATATTTCACAAGGTACAGTATTCTAGATTATTCACATTCGTATCATAAGATAACTTTACCTCACTTTCACCTTTGGATTTGAGTGCACAACACATATGCTAGGTGAAACTACTTTATGTAAACAATGAAAAAGGTAGTGTGGGAGTAGAAGGATATCGATTTGAATATGTTTCTTCATTAATATGTTTAAGGGTAGGAGCAGAAATAAAACCATCTCAGAAATGGAATGGACTACAATTGGAGAATGAGGCAACGCAGCCGAGAAGGTCGTGGACAATTCAACTAGTTCGGTGATAGAGAGTTAGCACTTAAACTCTGACTGATAAAGTGGGAAACACATTTTTCACTAAGTCACACATACACATTCACAAACATGGTAGTCTCCACACTAATGAGATCAAGTTACAGTCCAAGATAACCTATTGTATGTTACTAGTGATCCTAAAACCAACAGAAGAAAAAGAAAACAAAGAGAGATAGCCAAGTTATGGGCGGGTTAGACTCATTAGCTTATCGAATGGGCCTATACTGGATCAGTTTTAAACCATATTTTAATTTTTCAGATAAGAGAATATCCTATAATTAAGATAAGTTTCCAACCTTATCCTCTCCGGCCAAAATTTCAGATATTTTAATTGTTGAGAATAATAATTAACCTTATATGAGTCGCCAACGGATTGGAACGAAACAAAGTCAACAGTAACGCGTCAACACGTGGACGGCAGATTACACAAAACCATGTGAGGCGCGGGTCCCACCCTTACCCACTTGTCTCTCACATATAATTCAACGAACCTCAGCTTCGGTATCCCAACCTTTCTTTATATAATAACACAACTCTTATCTTCATCTTCTTACATTCGTGTTTGTCTTAATCCGTTTAGCTTTTTATCAAGACAAGAAAAAAGAGTTTTTAAGATATTTTCTTAACCCAAAAGGTAACAAAAAAAGATCTATGCCGCTATCTTTTTGTCGTCTTGTTGTTCTTGATATTGTCAGATCATTGATATGTGTTAGTGTCTTTGTGCCTGCAGAGATCTAAAGAACATGGCGATGGTTTCAGGAAGACGTTGTTCTACTCTAAACCCCCACGCGCCTCTCTTCGTTCCGGCGTCTGTAAGACAAGTGGAGGATTTCTCACCGGAGTGGTGGCAGTTGGTGACGACATCGACATGGTACCATGACTACTGGATCAGTCAGAACCAAGGAGCAGATGGTTTCTATGATGATGGTGAAGAAGTCGATGTAGCTGATCTTCTTCCGGAGTCTTTTGGTTTTGATGACATGGAAGATCTCTTTGAGGCTGATGAGTTTGATGGAGAGATCTACCATGCGGTTTCTGAGTTTGGTAAAGCTATTTTTTATCTATCAGCAGTAATAATCATGAACTAATGAGATTTTAGAGACTAATTCGGTGTTTGGTGTGATGATCAGGTTTAGGGAAGAATGGTGGTGAGATGGTGAGGAGATTGAGTGGGAATAGGAGTCCTAGGTTGTTTGTTGAACCGGCCAAGTATGCTGAGAAGCCAGCTAAATGGACGAACCAGAGGGTTGCTGCTCCAAGAAACATTCACCAGCCTCGTTGAAGAATGAGTTGTTTAACTAGTGAGAGTCTGTTGTATCTTTAGCCACTGTACCTTTGTAATTTTTCTTTAGTATTTGATTTCCCATAAGAGAACTTGTAACTTCTTTGTACCTTTATGATGTTCATTCTCAAACTTGTTATCACAAAGAAAAATGTTAAACATAAAAAAAAGTTGTAAACTTTGAAGAGAAATGAGAACTAGAGTTTTATTTCATTGATGTTACGCTTAAGAATGCTAATTACAGTTTACCAGACAAGCTTGTTCAAGCTTATTAGAACGGTTGGTTTAACCACAACGGTGATGACTGTAGAGTGTTGCCTTGGCTTTAAAGACCAAGACAAAGCCAAACTCAAATGTTTGACGATTGTAATGTCTTAGCTACTTTTCAGTTCATGTATCAGATGTACTGTCTAGTGTTCTCAGCACACTGCTAGTGGGTGGGTAAGGATTGGATTCAAAACGCTATTGATGTTAGATGCAATCAAACTAGAGAAGATGTCTTAAAGTAGCTTATAATCCAAAGAGCTAAGGCAACAAGCAGGTGTTTTCATCTCAGTGGTAACTTCAAATCACATGTCTTTCGCAAAGAATAGATACATACTCTACTTTGACCAAAAAAAAAAAAAATACATACTCTACAAACCTCAAGCGTCACTAGAGAATCATCTCAATTCTCAAGCAAACTATTAGGAATCTGCGTTACCACCGCGACCATGCTTCTATTACTTGACATCCTAGTTCTTTATTATAACAGTTTGATACGAGGATGAGTCACAGACGTCGCGCGTGTGTATACGCGCATATGTGAGCGAGTGAAACTTGAACTCGAAGACGCTTTCTTTTTGGCGGTTGGTTCGTCTCGCTTCCCTGCATCAATGAACAAGGTTATTCAGTTCGGTCTCAAGAGCTCCAAGTACGTCTCTGTCTCGTTCTGTTATAAAAGCTGCTTTGTATTATCTCTTTGCTCTTCTTCTTCATAAAGTTTAGGGATTTGTATTGTTATCTTCTGACTCGTTTCTTACATTAAGACAAATCAAATATCGTTGTTGTTTGAATTGCAAAGCTGTCACCTTTTTCTTTTTTAAAAGCTTTTTCATTTTTCTACTGTGTGAAATCTTGTGAATAAATGATGATTCTAGGTTTCTGGCGGTGGTGCCTCTTAGGAGAAGCTTAAGATTTGGTTCATCTACGTTTAGTGTTAGAGTAGGAACAATAAGTTTTAACAATAGACTCATGTCAAATGCTACGCCTTTCTCTGTCAACAACAACACCAAGGGAAAGGAAATGAAGGTAGCAGCTACTGATCATAAGGTTGTGGTTGTTCAGTTTTCCCTTTTACTGGTTGCTAGTTTCTTTTTTCTTTTTGGTTTAATTGTTGGTTTTGATGTATAGGGAAGTGATAGTGATAGAGACGAAATGGGAATTATTCTGCATGATCAAAAGGAAATTGAGGCCATGACGGTTCAAGAACTTAGAGCCACACTGAGGCAAGCTTATGTGCAGCTCTTTGCTGTCTTTTGCTATTGTTTCTGTGGGCATCCAAATTTTTGTTCTTTGTTTGAACATGTGGAACGGTTGTGTAATCTTCAATTATAGGAAACTTGGACTACCTGTGAAGGGACTCAAAAAGGAACTTGTCTCAGCTTTACGACTTCATATGGATCGCAATTTACAAGGTAAGAGCACACACACACACACTCTCTGTGTGAAATGGAAAAAGGAATGTGGACTTGTGTGCATGTAGAAGTTGTCAGAATAAAAAGTTTCATACTTGTTAGAGGTTCTGATTATTTGGAGAAGCCAGTATAGAATTTTGGTTCAGAGCTGTCTCTGTTCTACATTTCTCTCTTTGGTAAGTCCTGGTCCTGTTTATCTGTTACAGATGAAAGTTGTGGTGCAGAAATAAAGGAAACTACTTCATCCACCCGCTCAGAAAGTGTGACCATCAAAAGAAAAATCAGAAACAGGGAAGAGTCCACAGAAGATGGCTGCAGTAGCTCTGAAGCTTATGTAGAGAGAAGAGTAAAACAGTCTACTCAGAAAAACTTGAAAGCCAAAGTTTCTTCAAAAGCTATCTTAAGTGAGCAGAAGTCTTTAACCAAAACAGGTTTGTCATGGCGTTACAAAAGCATCTACACAAAGTATAATGAAACATTATCTGTTGCTTAATCTTCACAGGTAAGAAGAAGTCTCTGTTAAAAGAGAAAGAAGCATCATTGACCATATCTAGCAAAGTCCTCAAAACCGATGAAGTCACCTCATCATTAGTTCAAAGTGAACCATGGACGGTACTTGCCCATAAGAAGCCTGAGAAAGACTGGAAAGCTTATAACCCAAAGACAATGAGACCTCCTTCTTTACCAGAGGGTACCAAGTCTATGAAGATTATGACTTGGAATGTTAATGGACTGAGAGCATTGTTGAAGCTAGAGAGCTTCTCTGCTCTGCAACTTGCTCAGAGAGAAAACTTTGATGTCTTGTGCTTGCAGGAGACCAAAATCCAGGTCATTAACATAAGCATTAGCCCGTCTTAAGTTTTTCTGCTGAAGACTTAAAATCTTGTACTAAATAACAGGTGAAAGATGTTGAGGAAGTTAAAAAAGCTCTTAGTGATGGCTATGATCATAGCTTCTGGTCTTGTAGCGTCTCAAAACTTGGTTACTCTGGAACTGCTATTATTTCAAGGGTAAAGACAAGAATGTTGTCTGATATGTTATGTTGAATTGGAAGTCTTCTAATCAAAGTTTGTCTTTTGACAGATAAAACCACTCTCAGTTAGATATGGTACTGGTCTCTCTGGATCAGATCATGACATGGAAGGACGCATTGTTACTGCTGAATTCGAATCTTTCTACTTGATAAGCACATATGTCCCTAACTCTGGAGATGGCTTAAAAAGACTGGTACCACCCCCTCAACTCTATGACACCTTGTTTCTACAGTTGGAACAGATTTTGTTTTCGTTAACTTAACAAATGGTGTTGGTTTCTCAAGTCATACAGGATTGAAGAATGGGATAAAACCCTCAGCAATTACATCAAAGTATGGAAGTTTTCTTCAGGTGCTGTATCTATTTTCTTACACAGACCTTAATAGTCCTTATGCATTTGCAGGAGCTGGAGAAGTCTAAGCCTGTAGTCTTGACTGGTGATCTAAACTGTGCTCATGAAGAAATCGACATCTACAATCCTGCGGTAACTAACTCAGATTCTTCTTATTTTCATGTTATTTCGATTAGTTGAAAACAATACTCACCTCTCTTTTTGACATATGATTAGGGGAACAAAAGAAGTGCTGGTTTTACAATAGAAGAAAGAGAATCCTTTAGAGAGAACTTCTTAGATAAGGGCTTTGTAGATACCTTTAGAAAACAACATCCTGGTGTTGTAGGTTACACTTATTGGGGTTATCGCCATGGTACTCGCAAAACCAACAAACGTAGTCAAGTCTGCATAGAAAGTGAACTGTTGATTGTTGTTATGATCCATACTCATATTGAAATTTTGATTGTTAATACTGTGTGAAACAGGATGGAGATTGGACTACTTGGTATCTGAATCGATGGCAGGCAATGTTCATGATTCTTACATTCTCCCTGATATCAATGGCAGTGATCATTGCCCCATTGGCCTTATTCTCAAGCTCTGATCTATTCGAAGCTTCACTGTTCCAGACGTTTTTTGGTGTTTTGCCTAAGAGCACCTCCAATGGTGTTACCCACCATTGGAGTCCTTAGGTATAGATTAATAATTTTTTTTTTTTTAGAATAGTTAAGGACCTCTAATGACAAATGTTGCTCCAATGGTGTTATCCATTGTGAAATCCTTAAGTATTAAAAAATAATAAAATTGTAAAACATGTAAATTTAAAATTTTGATTTATTGAATGATAAAATGTAAATGAAGAATTCTGAAAACTAATTTTCCAAAAAAACAAGCACAAAAACATGTAAATTTCTGCACATATTGTAAAGATCAGAGTCCAGAGCTTTACCCTTCTTTCTTGTCTCTCTGTCTGTGCTTCAACAACTGCTTCAAGTTCTTGTTCGAGGAGAGGATCAGCCTCTTTCATCTCTTTCCATGTTTCTGTTAGAGAGATAGCTTCGAAGTCTTTGATGACCATTGAAATGCATAGAAAGGAAAGCCTTGTGGCGTCGCAGCCTCGTGCTAGTTGGAGCACGTCAAGCATATTCTCCTTGGTGATGTATCCTTCTTGGCTGAGAAACTCTATGCAAACTCTTTTAAGAGATGGAATCGAGTACCAGTGCGACAGAAGCATCAAAGGGAACACACACTTGTTCATGAGTCATTTAACTTGAAACCAAAGTAATAATTGATTTGACTGTCGAGCTGCAAGGTATGTATCAATCAGTTATAGTCAAAAGCCTGTTAAAACACAATTGATTGAATGTCATAAGCCAGATACTTAAAAAATCTAACTACTAACTAGTTTAATGAATGAGAGAGACATACGCAGCTAACTCTTTTTGAACACGAACAGCCTCAACTTGAACAACCATTTGAGCTTTCTTGACAGTCTCATACATATTCTGCATATTACCAAAGATTCCTCCTGCCTAGAAACAAAATAAAATAAAATAACAGAACTCATGAGTTCCGACCAAACCCATTTCGTGTTCTGAAATAAATAGAACAAAGATAAAACCTTTGACTGTCCATCCTCAGTATTATCTTTATTGTTTCCACCTCCGAACAACCCATTCACACGAAGAAACCTTCTGGGCTTGTGCTGATTTGGCCATGCCAAGTTCTTGTTGTGTCTACTACTTCCTCTCTGGGAAGTGAAGCCTGCAATATTTATCAAAGAAAAATCCCCCAAAAAATCAATCTAAATGTATACTTAAATCCCAAAACTAAAATTGATAGAGAGATAGAAGTCAGTAGATAAGAGAGCGGAAGAAACTGGGTCAACGAACCGCCTCCGAGCTTCCACGCTACTTCCTCAGACTCCTCCTCAGACACTGGATCCTCTTAATTTTCCTCCTCGCCCTCACTTTACTACTCTTCGAATCAGCCAGAATCGGAACCAAACCTGAGCTGAAACAACACAATCCGGATTCAATCCCTAATAAGAAAATCAAAGGAAACTTGAATCGATTGGATCCGACTACGAAAGTTATCGCTGGTGTTAGGCAAGAGAGAGAGACAGCCAGAGAAGAGAGAGAAAAAAGCCACGTCAACAAGGACTTGGTCCTTAAAGTCCCTACTTAAGGATTAGTCCTTAACTTATGTGATTTTTTTTTTTTTTTTTTTTGAAACAACTTATGTGATTTATTTAATGTTTTTTTATTCCCTAAAAGCTAAGGATTTGTCTAAGGACCACCTTAACAACCCCCATTGCACCTGCTCTAAGGTTTTAAATGGCTTTTAGGCAGAGGTTCAATAGCTTTGCTCATGTGAAATTTGGAATTCTATCTCTTAGAAGTCAATGTCTTTAACACAATGTAGTATCTTGAAAATGAGAGGTAAAACTTTTGTTGATATTTCCCATATGGTTAAATTTTGTTTTTAAATGTTTTGTAATAGAAAAAAATCTTATTTAATAATAATAAACTATAATTTGGAAGAAATTAGTTGTCTTTATTGAATTACTATAACTATAGTTTTCTTGAAAAATAATAATCACATAAAAATAGTGTATACAAGATAGAAATTTAACAACTAAAGCATTTATTACTATGAATAATTGAATAACCGTAGTCATTTACTTTGAAGGAAAAGTTAGAGGGAATTTTCAAAATTAGAAAAACATGCATCAGTTTTCTACAACACAAAGATTTTAGAAATTTAGATTATAGAGACCAGTAATTTGTTTAATTACCACTCAAAATATCGATATTGTTGTGCATTATTTGTTTTTCCTGAAACATATAAACTACTTCATTTAGGATGATGAAACATTCAATATTTAAATTTTTAAACCAGAGAAAACATTTCTACACTTCTTATTACATGAATTTTCAGACCTTTGGTCCTCAATTTTATTTGGCCTGTGATGAGCCGTTGACCATACATGCACGTGGCTCGAACTTGTCTAACATTTATACAAAGCACTCCTTGTAACGACTAACGACAGGATCATCTACCATGCGTTGGTATTATTTATATATTTGATGCTCTACTCAATAATTGATCTTAGAACAAACTTTCCTGACCTCACCATCAACGTCTGTCTTTACCTCAATGGAACTCATCTTAACCATAGCTTGACCAAACTCCTTATCAAACCTAAACCCTAACAAACCTCTAATAGTACTCGCATACTTCCTCACCACGTCATTTGTCTCAGAGTCCGACCAAAGCCGTTGGTCCGACTCCAAAATGCCGTTACCATCTCGTAGGTTCTTGAAGAAGCTTACATCGAACTTTGATGGACTGCCAATGTCAAGAGCAACACGTTTTGATGGGTCTCCATTGGGAGGACAAAGAGTCTTGAGCTGTGTAAGAAACGATGGGCTTATGGTTGGGTCCGAGTTTCCAGTCACCGTGTAGTTGTATAAACGGTAACGGAAAAAGAGACAGTCCGTTTGTCCTATTGTGTGTGCACCTGCATGTCCTCATAAAATGAGCTATGATTTTTTTTTTTGTCAACGAGCTATCAAAATAACTACTAAGGAAAACGAAACTAATATAACTATTTTTGTATATATGAGTGCAAGATAAAACCTTTATCAAAATAATATATGAGTGCAATATAGATAGAAAAATATAGTAAGATAGCAATAAACATATTCTTATTTTAAAATAGAACATAAAGAAAAACAATTCTCAAAATATTTATTAGTGTTTAGAAAGTGGGGTTAGGATAAGAATTTAGGGTTTTGAGTAACTTAGTAATTTTGCTCTTTAATTAGTGCTATTTTTTTTTAAAAAAAAATCTTCTTTATCCTATTTTCATTATTTACAAAATCTTCCCATATAAATATCATAAAAAATAGAGAGATAAATACACATACCGAGTAAAGTAACTAGATCATGAGCATCCAGGCCTTTAGCTTCGAACTTTTGCTTTTGAACAGCAACAGAGTCAAATGGTGAAGGTAGATTCGACGCTTCCGATGCCAACGAGATTCTACCGTCTTTACGACCCGTTGGAACTCGCCAGCTTGGTCCAGAACTCTGTTAACATACATAATCAATATTAAAGAAAAACTTCCAAAGGAATAATAAAACCCTAAAAATTAGGTTTTCTAAACTTGCGTACCAAGTCAACAGCGTCACGAGCAGCAAGTGCAAGTATATCTGCACATGACACAACTCCTGGACACTCTAACTCGAGTTGTGCTTTCGCATCATCTATCACTTCGAACCCTCTAAGACCACCATTAGCTAGAGCGGTTTGCTCCGCTTTTTTTCCTTTGATTAAAACCGATCCATCACAACCCTAAAAATATGTCAAAATTTAGTTTGATTTGTATAAATTATGATCAAAGGAGGTGGAGACTAAAGAAAGAATTAGAACCTGGACAAAACAGTCATGAAAATGAAGCCTGAGCAAGCCAGGAGAGATGGTGGGATCAGAATCAAAGTGTGATTCAACAGTGGATCTTACTATGGACTCAGCTCTTGGACATGAAGCTGAATAATAACCATTTTTTAACGACTGACTTCTCACTTCTTTCCCCAACACCAACACTATTATTATTATGTAACAATAATTGACTAAGTACAGTCCCATTTTTCGCTACCTCTTATTTGTGTGATCGATTAAGATACAATGATGTTCAAGCACCACTATAGCTTAGTATTTATATACACAAACACACATACACATCGTATAAAACAGCCTTTGTCTCAATGGAACCGTAGTGCTTTTTTTTTCCTTTTGTTTATTTGGTTTTTAATTATTTGTATTGGTATATACACTTGGTTGCCACTATGATGAATTAATGGGTAGTGATTTCTATCATTTTGTATAATTTCATTTGAAACATTATCATGTCTACGAGTTTCGTGCTAACGTTCTTTCAAAATCAGTTAAACATGTCTTTTATGATTTTTGTTATTCATTTTCTTTACTTTAAAGCTTCTCTCTCCTCAAAGTTTAAAGCCGTCACTGTATTTGGGGTTCACAATCCTAATCTGTATATTAAGTACTACAAATAAAAAACCCAATAATCGAGAAGAAATTGATATAGAAGAGAAGCGGAACACGAGATAAAGAAAGTGAAAAGTATAAAAACCCATAACCATCTCTTTTCAAATTCTAATTGGTTCAGCTCCTCTTGTTTGGTACACACACACCTTCATGATCTCATCAGCATAGAATGCATTGTGGACTGTATTAGTTGATTGACTTTTGTTCAAGTGTGTTTTTTTTTTTAACAACCTTTCAAGTGTTTTTATTCTATTGAAAAGAATTCATTTTATGGTGCTGAGTTCCGTTCACTATATCTATCTATATATATAAAGTAAGGTTTTCCCTCTTTTGAGAGTGCCACCTAGATAAATAATGTTATAAGAAACTGCCACGTTTTGCCTCATCTTAAAAATCTATTGCCTTTTGTTTTTTAAAATGGTTTCGGACGAAACCTTATCTGTTTTTAAATTGGGCTTTTCAAATATGTATGTCAAATGCTAGGCCCGTCTCACCTGTATCTTCTTTGTGTGTTAAAATATCTAGGGTTTCATTGGTGTATCCAAGACTGCTACCGTCAACCAACAATGGCGGTTCAGAATTTGTGTGTGCGTCGACGCATCGATCTCCATATCCGTATCTGACGTTTCGGTTTCTATTCTTCACCTCCCAATCGTTACAAATCAAATTGATTGAATGTCGTAAATCAAAACTTAAATCTTCACCCCTTCTAGAACCACGATCTTGCATTCAATGATTATTATCCTTCATCAAGTCGGTGATTATAACCTATAAAAAGGTAAGGATTCATTCCTTTAGCATCTATCCTCACAGTCACAGTTCCTATTATCCAGAGTAATTTTATTTTCAGTATAATGGCAGCCTTAAACTCTCTTCCTCTCTGCTTTGAAGGTTGGGCGTTGTTCTTCCATGGTGACAGTAAAGGTGCCATTGCACAGAATCTGGGAAGCAAGAAACGGTGGAGTGACTCAGTCTCATTGTGAACATCTCTCACTGTTTCTCCTCCTGCCGGTTCTTTATCATTCTCTCCTCTATACCCTAATGCTTAGTAAAATTTATATTCTACTCCTTTACTCTTCTTTGCTTATGGTTTATTCTCACTCCATATTTGCTTATTGTTTATTCTCACTTCATACGAGGTTGTTTCTTACTCATAGGGTATATGCTCTCTTCATATCTCAAGAAAAAACTCAATGGTGGTTGAAGAGAAGTTTAATTTTTTGTTTTGTTTTTATAACTGAAGAGAAGTAGATGTCTTCTCATAATTTTCATTGAATTTTTTTACTGCTGATATTTTTATCTGACTAGGGTTGGATACACATGAATTTGAAACACTCAGCTGTTGTTTTTCTTTTATTTTTTTAGTTTTGTTTGTTATCTTTTAGAGTGGAGAGAGAGCTTGCTCATTCTTTTCAGTTGTGCATTCTATTTTCTAATTTTCACACTACGCTACGAATTTGCTGAAACATCTGCAAAAAGTGCATTCGGTTGGTGAGTGCAACAAGGGATGGCATTAGTGTTGAATCCAATTTGTGTTTTTTAAAAGCCTTTGGTTAGTGTACTCACGTTGGATCTTTTGAGGATTGTGCACTAATTAGCAGGTGGGATTATAGCAGCTCTTATTTGATTAAAGACATGATGACAGATAAGGATTACAAAAATAAAGAAGAATATTATATGGTTTCATATAGCAGCACTAAAACTTATCTCTAAGCCCCACTCACAAACAACACCTACTACAACTTCAAGTCCAACTGCAGAGATTGGGCTTAGAACGCTATCCATGCGCTACATGTTAATGTAACGATATTTTCAGACAACAGCGAAAACATGATAGCATCAGCAAACCAAATACGGTGACTACTAAACCACAAAGGACACGCTATCAATCTTCAACTTTATATCTTTGTACTAATTCCAACAGTTAATGTATAATCAGTGATGTGGTACGATAATATGTTGTTTGTGACTATTTTGGACTGAGTCTATTTAAGAGCCAAAACTTATATCTTCATAATTTGTTTTTGGTGTAACAATATCTTCATATTTGCTTGACTCTTTTGAGAATTAAAATCAAGAGAAAGAAAAGAAAAGAAAAGATTATGCAACAATTGCTTTTTACTGGCTCTGTCTGAGAAGTAACAGAAGAGGTTTTACCAACAACAGCAGAGGACAATGAGAAGAGAAATACAAACAACATGGATGCTGAGTTGGTTCCATAAATTGTACATTTCTCTATATTTCTCTAAACCAATTGGTCAACCGAACAATTTAACTCTGTTTTACTAAAAAAGATTTATGTGCTTACCAAAGTTTTTTTTAACTTAACAAAAAATATGTTGGTTTAAATTCTTTTAACGTAAAGAAAACTTATCTTCTGTAGCATCAAAATCTGCATATTATAATTTAAAAGTGCATCTATTATATTACTTTATATTATAGAAATAGGCTATAATAGAGAATTAATATCATAGTAATATACTTTAAAAATATGAAGTGTTACTTAATACGAATATAATATGCAACATATCTCTTGGATAAAATAAATTATTATGAAAATAAAAAAAATATTTACTAAAAATGTTTACTTAATAAAATTATGGTTATTGTTTAAGGAAATAATAAAATAATTATATATAAAAATATACAAAATCATATTAAAAAGGTAATCAAATAAAAATATAAAAAAGCCATGTATACTCTAAAACTAACAATAATATTGTCTAAGCCTCTTAATCAATCTGGATTATATGGTTTATTTGATAAAGTTTTAATAAAATGTGTATATTCTTAAATAATCAGTTTTGTATTGTTATGTTATTTAAGTAACTTTAGAAAACAAGTTTTAAATCAATTTATTTATCACATTATCTAAATACGTATAAAAAAGCATCAACGGAACCAAAAAACATTTGTCGCAACGGAAACATCAAACTCAATTTCAAAACGTATATGAAAAAGATATATATATATATATATATATATATATATATATATATATATATATATAAATTTCACAGCATGAACAAGAGACACAATAAAAAAACATGTAAATGAAAATATAATATTAGATAACCTAAAATAAAAAAAGCATATCAAAGATCTATCAAACAAAAATAAGATAGAACATATGCTCATTAAAATTATCTCACCAGTCGAATTACATCCAACATTTTACTTCTAAATGAATGACTAAAGTAAAAATAAGCAATCATGCAAATAATAATTCATACATAATATACTAACAAATATTTAAAAATAAAAAATGTCTAACAAAACATATAAATCCCGCGTGAAAATAAAGTTAGATATAATCTTTTAATTAATAGTAAAATTAAGTTAACATTGTTGTGAAAATATTATGTTATTAATACTATTTTACTTCAAATAAATTAAACATTTAAAAGTATATTTATACAGTTTCCCGCCCGTAGGGCGGGTTTACCCTAGTATGATATATAATTATGTCTAAACAATGTAAAACATGCGTGATTGGAAAGCTACAGAAACATATAAGATTTATTTATCTGGGAAACAAACATATGTAATATTTAAGTTATGAGAGTAAACTAGAAGAAACCAATGAAGAGCTGTACGGGTAATCGTTTATATAGGGATTGTTTTTTTTTTTTTTTGTGTGCAACATAATGATAGCAAGCTTTGGTAATAAAAACCGAGTATGAATTTGAAGCTTTTAGTGTTTCTGATCTCGTATTAGATAGTGAGACACTCTTTTTCATCACAACAAAGACATTGTATAGAGACTCTTCTTTTTATAGAGTTAAGTGGTGAGATTTCGTTTAATAGCTACAAACTACAAAGTATGCAAAACACAGAAGCCTCAGCTCTGTTTATATGCTTCAGCTTTGTTTATATAGTCCTATAGATAAATCTCATTAGAAAAATGATAACATTGAGAGACAAAGTGAAACAGAGTCCCTTTAACCAAAGTCCCAGAATCAGAGCGCGTAGAGTCCTTGGCGTGTTCAATCCGTACCAGCCAACCACATGTTCTAGAACAGATTGAAGAGTAGCCAATCAATGGATCAGCCACAGCTACGCAATCGTATAGCCCACAAGAATAAGAGTGTCCACACCCGTGTGAACCAGTAACACAAACCTTCCCCTACGGTCTAACACCAATGACCGTTCAGATCAATAAGATCCAATGAGAATTTTGATCTTAGCCTAAGCTGACATTCGCCCTTGAGATCGCCTCCTAAGCTGAGATTCACGAGTGTTAGACCACCGTTAACATTATGTTCTACTCCATATTGTGGTGATACTCTAAAATCATTTTCGACTCCATTTCATATTTTACGACAAAATAAAATGAAAAAGAGAATAATGAACAAAAAAGTAAAAATATTATTCTATGAATTAAGTAATATTTTTTATTATTCAATTTTCTATTTTATTTTGAAGTAAAATATGTATTAGGATTGGAGATGTTCTTGGTGTTAATACGTGTTAAAATTATATGTTAATTGTAAGCAAACGTTTAAGGAACTTTTTCACCGAATGTATTTAATGTAATGCGGCTGAACTACTCTATTTCATTATATAAATATGTTTACCTAAAAGATAAAGAAAAGTTTATTTTATTTAAACAAATCATTTGATATATAATTTAAATCTTGTTGAACCAATACTAAATAAAGAGTTATTCTTGGGTTCACCCCCTAGGGTGAACCTCTAAATTCACCATCCAATAGGATTGCATCATTTCATATTTGATATCTTTTAAAAAGGAAACAAAATCTTGTTAAGTTATATTATGTTTTTAAAAATAAAAATACAAAATAAATAAATAATAATAATTAATAAAAACAAAAATAATTCTTAAAAAAAAACATTTTAACGCTAAACCCTAAACTCTAATCCTAAACCATAAACCCTAAACCCCTTGGTAAATCATAAATCTTTGGTAAATTTTATAAAAATCTTTAAAAAAAAATTCTTTTCACTAAAACACTAAACCCTAAACTCTAATCCTAAACCCTTGGGTAAATCATAAACACTAAACCCTAAATTCTAATCCTGAACCCTAAACCCTTGGGTAAATCATAAACACTAAATCCTAAACTCTAATCCTAAACCCTAAACCCTTGGGTAAATTATAAACACTAAATTTTTTTATAGATTTATCCAAAAGTTTGTGATTTATCTAAGATTAAACTTTAGAATTTAATGTTAAAATATATTTTTTTTAAATAATTATTTTCGTTTTTCTTAATTATTATTATTTTTATTATTTTTTGTATTTAAAACACACAATATAACTTAATAAGATTTTTGTTTCCTTTTTAAGAAGATATCAAATATAAAATGATACAATTCTATTGGATGGTGAACCTAAAGGTTCACCCCTAGGGGATGAACCCAAGAATAAGTCCTAAATAAATCTATATAATTCGATTGGTCATAATATACTCAATAAAAGTAAAATTTATCTAAAAATATGAAAGAGTACAGTGATTTCTCACTTTGACGCTTGCCATACGATTGAATCCACAAAGACTGTGACTTGCATCTTATCATATACTTCAAATTATAGTGATTTCTCACTTGACGCTTACCACATGATTTTTTCAAGTGTTAAATACTTCTTATTTTCATATAACCTACATGATATTGCACTGAACGCACATTACCAAATCGCTTTTGGAGTTCTTTTTTTATTCACTTACTTCTGCATCTTATTTGCAATGGACGGGAAGCTTTTCTTGGGCCAATACTTGATATTGGCGATGGTGCTATTAGGGCAGCCACATGGATACGAAAGTAGTATTAAAAAAGAAAGTGAGGCCTTGTTGGAGCTCAAGAAATACATCATCTCAAGGAGTCAAGAAAAGTTCTCTGACATTATTCTACCTTCTTGGACTAATGATTCAAAGAGCGATTGCTGTCAGTGGGAGCGCATTGAGTGTAACCGTACAAGCGGGCGGGTTATCACGCTTTCAATTGGTAGACTGTTCCCCAAAAAGAGCTCTCTTCTAAATCTTTCATTGTTTCATCACTTTGAGGAAATTCACAATCTGAGCTTATCTGCGGACGGTTATAACAACCAATTCAATGGTTTCTTTGATAACGTTGAAGGTATACCAATATTATTCCTCTTTGGAATATTTTTTTCCGTACATTGGAAAGTTATAATTCTATGCAAATTTTTGAAAATAAACACTCTTATATATAACTTCTTCACTTAAACTTGGTGATGTCTAGGCCATATATCACAAAATTTTTATTAACGGTCAATAACGTTTTCATCGAAGTCCCACACAAGGTCACTAGTCTTATTTTTGAATACTTTGTTACTTGTCAAGATTTTTGGTTTGCAGGTTATAAAAGCTTAAGGAGATTGGGGAACCTTGAGATTCTGGATCTCTCTTTCAATCAGTTCAACAATAGCATCCTTCCCTTTCTTGATGCTGTTACATCGCTCACAACTCTTTCTCTCCAAAATAACGACATGTACGGCCCTGCTACAGGTTTGTGTTTTCCACTTATAACAAGGTGCCTGTTGAGCAAAACCGACCTATTGATCAAGATGTATCTTTGGCTAGGTCTCGTTTAGTTTTCATATATAATAAGCGCTACAATTGCCTATCTCCTCTGAACTAAATTAAAGATTTCACAAACTTGGTATATATTTAGGGCTCCATGTTAGGTATATATATATTATTTCTATGTCGGTTGTAAGTGAGTTTTGTATTAAAAGTACAACACTAAATACCGTTAACGGTGGTCTAACACTCTCGTGAATTTTTAAAGAGGAAAACAATTATACTTATTTTCTCATTACTTTTTGTTTTCCAACTGTATTTTTTTGCAGTTTTTTGTCAAATGAGGAAACTGAGGGAACTTAATCTCAGAGGAAATCAATTTGTAGGCCAACTTCCTTTTTGTTTAGGTAGCTTGAACAAGCTCCGGGTTCTTGACCTCTCATCCAACCAATTCAGTGGAAATCTTCCATCTAGTTTCAGCAGCCTCGAGTCCCTCGAATATTTATCATTGTCAGATAACAACTTCTCAGGCCTATTCACCCTCAATCCACTCACCAACTTATCAAACCTCAAGGTTCTCTAACTCTCATCAACATCTGGTATGGTAAAAGTAGAGACAGAGAGTACTTGGCAGCCAAAATTTCAGCTGAGTGTTGCTGTACTAAGATCTTGCAGCCTTGAGAAAATCCCTTGGTTTCTCATGTACCAGAAGAACTTGAGTCTCGTTGATCTATCTTACAACAGATTATCCGGTCACATTCCCACTTGGCTGTTGGAAAATAATCAACAACTTGAAGTCTTGCAGTTGCAGAATAATTCATTCACTCTCTTTCAGATGCCTACTACAATAGTGCATAACCTGAAGGTTTTGGATATTTCAACAAACGGTATTGAGTCATTCCCTGACACTATTGGCAGATCACTTCCCAATATGGTAACACTGAATGGCTCTAGTAATGGTTTCAAAGGATATTTTCCATCATCTATAGGTGAGATGAAGAATCTTTCCTTCCTAGACCTCTCCTATAATAACTTCTCTGGAAAGCTACCTAGAAGCTTTGTCATGGGTTGTGTTTCACTGAAATACCTGAAACTCTCTCACAACACACTTAGTGGCCATTTTCTTCCAAGAGAATCAAGTTTCACTTCACTATCTGCACTGATAATCAATAACAACTTATTTACAGGGAAGATTGGAGATGGTTTGATTAACTCCAGTAGTTGGTTATTTCTACTTGACATGTCCAACAATTTTCTCACTGGTGGTATTCCAAGTTGGATATCTAAAACCTCTTTGCAATTCTTAATGCTATCAAACAATTTATTACAAGGTGCAATACCACCTTCTTTGCTGGTCATGACATATCTGGACATCTCTGGAAATCTATTCTCTGGAGCCTTGCCGGCACCTGATGGTTATAATTTCGATGGGTGCAATTTGTTCCTACAAAACAACAACTTCACAGGGACAATTCCAGACACATTCCTGGATTGGGTCTTGATTCTTGATCTTTCCAATAATAAACTCTCTGGGAGCATCCCTCAGTTTGTTAATAATACTCAGGATATTAGTATTCTTCTGTTGAGGGGTAATGATTTAACCGGGTCTATTCCAAGGGAGCTGTGTGATTTGAGTAACATCAAGCTTTTAGATCTTTCAAATAACAAGCTCAACGGCTCCATACCTTCATGCCTCTATAATTTATCATTAGGACGAGGAGGGGAGGAGGAGAAGGCGAGTCAACACTACAGAGCTTACATTGTAGTCGACCTTGAGTGGGAATTTTACAAGTCCACAACTGTAGTTGAGAACTTCATGGTACACTACTTTGCTACATTCCAAGAGATACAAGTCAAATTTGCAACAAAGAAAAGGTATGATTCTTATGCAGGAAGATCTGAGTTTGGAGATGGAATACTTGATTATATGTATGGGATGGATCTTTCAAACAATGAATTAAGCGGTGCTATCCCGTTAGAGCTTGGAAACCTGACAAGACTTCGAGCCTTGAATCTATCTAACAACTTCTTGTTGAGCTCAATACCTTCCAGCTTCTCTGGTATGAAGGATATTGAGAGCCTTGATCTCTCTTGCAACAAGTTACAAGGAAGCATTCCTCAAGAACTTACCAGCCTTACATTTCTTGTAGTGTTCGATGTGTCTCATAATAATCTTTCAGGAATCATTCCCCAAGGAACGCAGTTTAACACTTTCAATGAGAACAGATACTCAGGCAATCCTTTTCTTTGTGGACCGCCGACCAATAGGATTTGTGATTCTACTACAAAAGGCTCAGATGATGGAAGAGACGAGGAAGACAATGAAGGTGTTCGTGTTCACATGTTGGTCTTCTACTATACCACTGCTTCAACTTTTTTAGCCGCGTTGATAGGCATTCTTGTGCTTTTGTGCTTTGATTGTCCTTGGCGTAGAGCATGGTTCCGCATTGTTGATGCTTTCATCGCGTCAGCAAAAAACCTGTTTCCTTAAAAATCATTTCAGCCAAATGTGGATATCTATCTCACCACTTGGTTTAGAGTTTCTCAGCCTCAAGCAAACTACTCCACCAATAACGTCTACTTCTCTGTATTACCTGTAAAAAATACTAGTTCCTTTTCATATTAATTGTTGTTTTGAATTTAAGTTTCTTTCGTTGTAAGTGTTGTTTTACGTTGTGAGGGCGTAGTAACATGTTTGGTTTTGATAACAACAAGAAAGCAACTCATCATTGGAGGACACTAAAGGTGTAAGTCTTTGATCCATACATGATTCTTTCATAGTTCTTGATCGTCTTTCTTTTCAGGCCTGAGTCATTGGGTATTGTTATCTTTCTTGAACTATTGTCATACTGAAACCTCTAGTTCCTTAGGTTGGCGTGCAAGTGCTTGATCTAGGTACTGATTCTTGTACATGCTAACTTCCGTGATTGTATTTTTGGAGGAGAGGTAAATGAGCAATGGTTAGCTAAATAGATGTTTGTTTGTTGCAGGAAGGATATAAAAGTGTTATATATGGGGTTACTTGCAGTCTTTTGTACAAACTCTTAATATTCACGCTGATTAGAATGACCTTGAAACTGGTAAAACAGTTGTTACTGCCGCTGCTATAAGTCCTTTTTGGTATTCATCATTTGCATTATGTATACGCTAGTATATGACCCTGGAACTGATTCCCATGCCATATTTTCTCTTCTGAAATTTTGCTTTTGCAGGGAAACACTCCTCATCTCCTTTCTTCCACAAGTTCTGAACATTCTATATTCACTTCCTCAGGTTCATATCAGGTTACGCTCTTCTCCGTCATACTTATAGTCATGTGAACTCATGTTTCAACCATCTAACATAAACTCTTCAGCTTGCTGGCATTGTGAAATGTCCACGCCATCGTCTCCCGAGAGTGAGCGACTCCTGAAGTTATTAGTATAGTTGAAACAACTAATAGAGTTGAAAGTTAAACTATAATGATGTGATTTGATTAAATAGCATAGTTTTTCAAGCTCACAAACATAAGTTGACCACAGAGTAGAACATGAAAAGAACAAATAAACTCTTATTAAAGTTTTGCTCAATCTTCAGGATCAAAAGGTCTGCTGTCAAAATCTTCTCTGTCCTCAGCAATGTCAGGACAATACCTTTGAGACAAAATCTCAACTTGTTCTGCAAATGTTTTGCTTCCAGGTATACCAATATGATTCACCATCTGGTTCCACCGACTTCTACAAGCATCTCCATCTCTATTATCCAAAAGATTATCCCAATCCACGTCGTCCACACAAGCAGCATCCAGATTCGTAAGCTCGTCCAAGAGCCTATAGTCATCCACGTTAGCCCATATCCCCTTGGCCACCATCGGTGACGTCAACTGATCATACCATTTCAAGCAGCAGACGACATGGTCCCTTGTTCCAAGCTGGTCGCTTATGGCCATCCAAGGGATGTTATCTCTGAGCATCCCATGCTTTGAGTGCTTCTCTTTGAAAGCTTTTATTCTAAGGTCTTTGTTCACAAGATCAAAGAGCGCTTGGTACTCCTGCATCGACCAATGTCCTCTCTTCTTGGCCGCCAGTCTTATCCTCCTCCAAGCGTCTTTCACATGGTTCCTGTGTTTACCCATTGCATCTGCGAGGGTTTTCCAATCATTGCCGTGTTTCTTTTGATACTCAACGACGAGTTCCAAATCCTCTTTGCTCCATACACCCTTTGATCCTTGTTCAAATAAAGTGTGTGCACGGTAGTAGACACCAGTGTATGGCCTCCAAGGCAAAGCAGCTGCTATCTCTTTCCAGCAGCCTTTGACCTTTTTGTGTGACTGGCAGTTCATAACCATGTTTATCCCTTCATCTCCTAGAGCGTGGTTATCAACGTATTCTAATACAGATTTCTTGATCAGCTCGTCTTCTTCTTTGGTAAAGCGCTTACCTCTCACCACGTCCACTTCTTCATCTTCTTCATCTTCACTTTCTTCGGAGGACTCGGCAGGAAACACTTGAACATGGTCAGAAAAGTTGACCTTTTTAGCGCTTTTACTTGGTGGGGTGCTCACAACTTCATCACTCTTACTACCCTTTTCCTTCTTCTTCTTCTTCTGCTTCCTTGTCTCCTTTCCGTTGTTGTTGTTGTTGTTGTTCTCTTCAGCCTCAGGATCTTCACTTTGCTTCTTCTTCTTCTTTTTCCTTTTCTTCTTACCACTTTCAAGAGAGTTCAACTTCAAGTCGTTTTCTTCAGCCTCAGTTTGTGTCTTGTCTGCATCTTTATCTTCAGTAGAGTCCTTGTTGTCTGGATCACCACTTTGCTTCTTCTTCTTCTTTGGATCTTTGGTAGACTTGTCAGTTTGTATCTGACTATTAGCATCTTCAGTAGAGTCTTTGTTATCTTCTTCAACCTCAATTTGCTTATTCTTCTTCTTACTTTTCTTCTTTGGGCCTTTGGTAGACTTGTTCAACTCAGCAGCCTCAGTTTTAGCATCTTTCATGTTGTTTTCAACTTCAGCCTCAGGATCCTCTCTTTGTATCTTCTCCTTCTTTGCGCTGTTATCTGAACCAACAATTGTTTTCTTCTTCTTAGGCTTGTGTGGTGTATCTCCCACATCAACACGCTTTCTCTTTCTCTTAGCATCAACATCATCATCATCAGTGTTGGCGACTCCTTTCTCATGGCTTCGATTTCCTTCACTAACTTTGGAGCTTTCAGTGTTTGCTGCTATCTCATCACCACCACCAGATACCACCTTCTTCTTCGATTTCTTTCCACCATCATCAGAATCTACATTCTTGTGTTCCATCTTCCTTAACGAAACACCAATCTAGACAAAACACTGCAACAAAGAAAACAAAATCACAAAAGAGTTTCACTCTCATGAAAGAGGGTATTATAAGCTATACTCTCTTGGGAATTTAAACGAACAGTTAACAGGCATAACATTCAGGCTTCATTGTCACTTCTTACGACACAGCCAGTATAAAAAAGGTGACAACTTTACCGAATTACCGAATCATAGAAGAAGGGATCATAGACTTAACAGGAATTACCGAATCACGTTGCCCTCCTCTCGTTGATACGCAGAAGCTAAAGCAGAGACTTTTTAATCGGAAGAAGCTTCTTTGAAACGGGTTTACCTGTATTGGACCCGGATTCATTCAATTGGGCCTTTCTAAGATGGGCTTTTCATATATATTGTTCTGTTCACACACAAAATTGTGATGAATGTTAATAAACTGTTATGCATGCATGGGGTATTCACTATTCATCATATGCACTTTCTTCTTCTTTTTTTTCTCAAAGGGTTTTCAGCATATAAAATACACTTTACAGTGGTAAACTCATGTGTAGTAGCTTTAAAATATCAGTTTGTATTATTTTTATTTTTTTGAAACACTAGCCGTTTATATAATTATATATGTTGTTTTCTTGTCTCAATGCAGCCAATCTTGTAGAGTGTATTCAAAAGGTCTTTGAAAATATCAAATATGTAAGAATTAATCCTAGCTAGTCCATATTAAAGAAGTTCACATATATAGAACTACAATATTTAATTCCAATCATATTAAAAAAAAAACTTGCTGATGTTATAGTCCAATTTTTATTTTATATACTTGTTCCATACTTGTTTTTCTTTTGCTTCTAATTAAGAAAATCCCTTTTATTAATCAACCACCTACGAGTCATCCTCTTTAATATTGCTATGGACGACATTTTATTTACTCCATGCTCGAAAAACTACAACATATAAGTGTAGGATGCTTTTCTAGTTGAGTTAACGCCATTTAGTTTTTTTTTCCAAGTGCATTTATGCTTTTTTCATACAAATTCACGGTTATTATTGTTTCTAAATAGACATGATTCTCTTACAAGTATGAGTACTTGAACAAGACATTTTTAGCCTCTCTACCATGTTTCAATAGAGTATCCAATTCGGGCAAATATTCCAGCATAGTTCTGAAACGTACGTGACATACAAAAAGGTCTCAGTTTCAGGCTTTAGAAATCCTGACCCCTTTACTGCTCCTAATTTACTTTCACTCACTTTTTTTCCTTCTTCTCCACAGTATTAGCTTCTTCTGGTGTCCCATAAGTTACCCAACCCCACAATCTTTTTTTTCTCATACATTATAGTTAGTTTTTTTGTGAGTGATATCTATCAGTCAACTGAGTCAGTCAAAGATTTTGATCCTACCATATCATATATATATTAATATCCACGTGGCGCATGCGGAGACATGGCTTAGAGGAGGGGCCTTCTGCATATGGCTCGTGACTTTGTTTTCTCCTAAAGTGGTTCCACTTTGTTTGAGACTTTCAAGCTCAGCCATTGAGAAAAATAGACTTGGTGGTTCCTCTTCTTCTACTGAAATTTTGGTTCCTAGACCTTGTCTGCTCAATTTCTAAGTCTTTTTAGATGTCTTTTCGCGTTATCTTGAGTCCTTTTCTTACTCATGTTACTTACTTTCTATCTAGTGCAGTGGGTGAGGAATTGGCTCCACTTACCACGTGAAGATAGCTTGATAAGATAATCTCCTTTTCTATGTTCTATAACCCTCAATATTTAGACCATTACTCACTTGTCGCTATCCTTTGAAATACTTGGGACTTGATGCTTGATCAGTCATTGTTTCAAAGATTTACCTTCACTCTATTATAAGATTTCAAAGATTTACTAGTTCATAGAACTTAATAGTACATAGGCTCTATACTCTGAATCTTGTTAATCAAATTGACTCATATATTTCTCTCAGGTTTCAATAAATCATTCAAAACATATCTTCTTGAATGTCCCTACACCGTCAGATATTGTTCTACGAGGTAATTATTATTCCTTTTACTAATATTTCCTCATTTTTACTGTTATAGTTTGTGTCCACTAACACACGAGCTTAGCTTTAAATTATTCGTTCACATATGATCATTGTTTTTAGTTTAATTTAATAGTTTTTCTTGACCTTAATTATAGACAAAACTTGTTATATGGGGTGTAACATTATGCCTCTGAAATGATTGTGTTACAAACTTTATGCAAATGCTTATCTTTCCCAATATTATTCAATGGGGTCCAAAGGAAACTGATTTGTCACAAACTGATTTACTCTCTAAGACATTGAAAACAGTTCCTCAGTTATTGCAGGAGACTCTCTAATGGTGCTTCTCTGTAGAGATGTAGCTTTCCTAGTGATGTACAAGTTTCTAAACTCTTGAACTTGCGCGTGCCGAAGATAGTCATTGTCAGGAACCTAAGGGGTCATTTTGCTTTAGGCTTCATTTCCATTTCCAATCTATTTTTTTTTCTCTTTGCATTCAAAATTATGTGTATACAAAAACTCAACTTCTGTTTGTATATGCCCCTTCATGACTAGGTTGCACCACATAAATCTCAAAGTTCTCTCTTTACTAATAATAATCGTTATGTATCTATGGGAAGCTTGAAAACAAATTATTTAGAAGAATTAACATGGACACGTTGGAGCTGATTAAACATGCAGAAGAAAAATGCCAACTTGGTTCTCAGCAACTGCAGCAGCTACTATAGCGACACAGCCACAAGATATTCTTGGTTCACAAGTTCCATACTTAGAGAACATATATCTGGTGGATAGTTATTGAACTTCTACATCGCAATTCATTGATTGTGGTTGAATTTAGAAAGACATGTCTGAAAAAAATCAGCTAATGGTTATAAGATATCTAAGAAGGAGAGACCTCTTTACATTCGGATTTAGAAAATTTTAGCAATGGAAAATATGCTACTTTATTTTCCCTACCAAAATTTTGGATCAAATTGCAAGGATTTGATCACCATTAAACAAAACTTCAGGCATGGCAAACTTTTTAACAAAACTGAAGAGGTAGCGGTGTACAAAGAAAATTTCAATCATTCAAGATTTCTTATATTCCTCGAATCCGTAACGAAATTGTTGATTCATTAGTTAGAGCTGCAAAATCTTTTCATAAGAAGTTTTTTTCCGTTTGTTGTTCTATTCTACACAAACCACCTAGTGTTTGAATTGAAGAATGGAATAGTCTTTTGGTCGTTAATAATAGACTTTTGGGTTAAAATCTAAAGTATTTTGAAATATGTAAGGTCAAATAAGTAATTAAAAAGCTGTATCTATTGAATTTGACTAGTGCGATTAAACCAATAGGATTGGGGTTTATTTGTCTAATCATGCTTTTGACAAGTCAGCCATCTCTTTTAGATCTCTTACATATTTAGTTAGAAAAGAAACATATAGAACACTGTGCTACAATTAAAAGTTTTACGGGCACTTAGATTTTAAACAAATATAAGAGATTTTAAGCGAAGTACTTTTATTAATAAAAACGTTGATCTCTTCCTAATAAAGTAGTACACGCAAATAAAGCCTTTCATCTAAATAATTGAGATTGCATTTTATCATAAGTTGAACCATCTAGCGTGGTTCTATATGTTTTGGATTTGATCATGCATTTAGCCATTTATTTAATATAAAGAAGCACTTAATCATTTGATATATATATAAGATAACGATTAACATTTGCACTTACGAATTACTTGATAGGTAAATTGTGTAATATTTTAGTATGTGATGAATGAAGATTTAACATACAAGAAAGAATCACGTAGATATAAGTTATTTTGCGGGATAAGAATTATATATAAAAATTATTTTATGTCTTTTTTTATTTTTTATTTTTATATATTATAAAATAAAAATATATATGTTGAATACTTAAAAAAATCTATAATTATTATATATACAATTAATTTAGTGAACGCTTAAACAGAATAATCATATTCTTTTATTTACAATCACTTTACATAAGTAAATCTAATTAATAAATGATATTAACATATATATATTATATTTTTAATTTGGATATATAATAAATGAAGCTTCACACTTACATGGTTTTATAATAAAAAATTGAAAATATTGATAACATTGTTTTTAATATGAGAGATTTAATATTTACAATAATTTATCATCATTCAAAAAAATTAAATTCAAAATTTGTCATTAAAGTATTAAGTTCTCAATACTTGTTCAATGCAATTTTGGTATATTTATGTATTTTTAAATGGTATTTGGTTTAGTTTAAACATCACTAAAATATATATGTATACCTCTAATTTGAATATTTATTAAATGATATTTCTTACTTATTAATTATATAATTGTTTGTATCATGCTATAACAAAAAAATATAAACTATTAATAAAAAAAATATTGTATGTTTAAATTTATTTATTTATTTATAGTCATTTTAAAAAATTCAAATTATATAAAAAATCTATTTTTTTGTTATATAGTTAATGTTATTGTTTAATTTATTTTCACAATATAAATTTAACAAAAAGAGTAGATGCTATACAACTTTTATCAAATCTTTCATATTCAAATCATTAATTGTCATATATATATTATAACCATACTAGGTAATTTCGTAAATTTTATTTAAGAAAATAATGATTATTAATAATAGTTTTATGCTAGTTTAATAAAACTATATTATATGTTTATATGGACCAACATTTTTTCTCTAATAAATTTGAGAAGCTCTCATGATGACACATGGCTACCAAAACATGTTGTAGTGCTTCTTAATTAATATATAGAGGTTATTGAGATTGTCCAAAAAGTTAATTTGTGAGGCAGTAGTATTCCTTATTTCTATTCTATTTCTCAAAAGATAAATATTAGAATTCTCTGCTTATGTAATTTTCATTTCATTTATGTGTGCTGTAATTCCCTTCAATTAGTTTTTTTTATTTATTTGGTCTGTGTTTTTCTATTTTTCTAATTCCCTTTTAGTTGAGAAAACTAATTTCTTCCCCTTTCACTTATTTAGACCTTGATTGATAAAGCATTAAAATAAAATAAAATATTTGCAAGATGTTAATATTCTCCAAATAATCTTTGTTCAACGCTCCTAAATGGAACTTTGGTATATCATTTACATATAAATTATATATATGATAAAAAAAATTACATATAATTAATTTATTTATTTAATGATATAAAAATATGTTTATATCCAGAAATGATTTTTTTAAATCAGTTTACAATTA